TGGGACCTCTGTCTGGCATGCATTGTGCACACACCCAGGGGTGAGTGGCCAGGTCCTGGGCACTTACAGCTTCAGCAGATGCCGCCAACTTAGACTTTGGTCGGCACCTCCACCGCCCTCTGCACTGCCAACACTGGTGCTGCCAGTTTTACTTATTTCACCTGGAGAAGTGATATTTCAGCGTTTTTTTTGTTTGTTTGTTTTCAAAATCAACTAGATTACGGTGTAAGTGGTGGGGAATGGTGGTGGTGTGCAACCCTGCACAAGACGCGGTCACGCGTACCCTTTCCAGCTCTGTGCCGATGATGACTCTGGTAGCCTGGAATCAGACTCAGTGGGGGTACTTCCATCACAGAAACTAAAAAAACACACTACAAATCGGGGCTTTTTTTCTACATAGAATAAGATGTACCTATTTTAAGTGTACATACAGCTTGGTGGTTTTGGTACCTACCATGCAATAGAGATACGGAACATTTCCAGCCCCCAACTATTTCCTTGGTCTGCGTCCCAGTCAATTCCTCCCCAGCCTGGCCCCAGGTAACCACCGACCTGTTTTCTGTCACCATAGTGGAGATGTTTCCCTCCCTAGAGTCCTGTATAAACAGAATCACCCGGTGTGTAGTCTTTTGTCTCTGGATTCACTAGCTAAGCATATTTTTGAGGTTTGAGCGTGTTGTTGTGTGTCAGTCACGTGATCGCTTTATGGCTAAGGATTAGCAAAACAACGGAATCATCGCTCTCCTGCTGATGGACTCCTGACTGTTCTGTTTTCTAGCTCTTATGAATAAATCTGCTACTAACGTCACTTACAGGTCTCTGTGCTTCCATTTCTCTTGAGTAGACACCGAGGGGAGAAACGGCTGGGTCGAGAGGTGGTAAACGTGTAATGCTTTCAAAATGCCAAACTTTTCTAGTGTTGTTCCTTTTCCATTTTGACCAGTAACGTGTGTGGCTCCTTTGTTATCTGGTTTTAATACTTTTCTTCATTAAGTGATAATTTCTCCATTAAATTTTGGTTATAATTCACCAGTCAAGCTATAATGGCCTATAAATTTCTTTGTGAAGTTTGAAAGAATTCAATTTATTTGTTATGGGGGTGTTTGGATGTTCTCTCTTCATGAGTCAGTTTTGGTAACTTGTGTCTTTCACGATTTTTTTTTTCCATTTCAACTAGGGTGTCAAATCTATTAGAATAGTTGTTTACAATAGTCTTTCAGTGTTGATAGGATCTGTAGTGATGTTCCCTTTTCCCTTCTTGATACTGATAATTTGTGTCTTCTCTCCTTTTTTGCTTGATCATTGTCGCCAGAGGTTTACCAATTTGATTGATGTATTCAGAGAAGCAGACTGAGTTTCTTTGACTTTGTTCTCTAATGTTTTGGCCTGGAAAGGGCACTAGTTTTAAGCAAAGGTCCTCCTGATGATGTGGGACGAGTTCCCACATCATCAGGACAAGGTGCCTCTTCCCTTCAGCCTGGGGCGCACCATTCTGGCCTTCACCTTCTTTTTTTTTGCACCAGATTATTCCTTTTGTGCTGTTATCCCCTTCCTTTTTCAGAAATTGACCTTAACAATAAATGAACCATTTAGTGAATAATCATTGGCATTTAGTACATGACAGTGTTGTACAAGAATCACCTCTCTCCAGCTTCAAGATACTTCATCACCTCCAAAGAAGACCCTGTGCCCATCAGCAGTCACTCCCCATTCTCCCCTCCCTCCAGCCTCTGGCAACCACTGATCTTCTTTCCAGCTCTATGGACTCAGCTATTCTAGATATTTCATGTAAATGAAGTCATGTAATTGGTGACCTTTCATGTCTGGGGACATTTTCAAGGTTTACCCACATTGTAGCATGTGCCAATACTTTATTCTTTTTTTGTGGCTCAATAATATTCCATTGTGTGGGTAGATCACACTTTGCTTATACATTCATCTGTCGGTGGACATATGGGTCGTTTTCAACTTTTGGTTATTTATGAATAATGTCGCCGTGAACTAGTACCTGCTTGTGTACATTTTCCATTTTTTAAAATACATACCCCGAAGTGGAATTGCTGGATGATATGGTGATTTTGTGTTTAACTTTCTGAGGCACCGCCAGACTGTTTTTCACTGTGGATACACTATTTTCCATTTCTACCTGCAATATACAAAGGTTCTGAATTCCCCGTGTTCTTGTCAGCACTTGTTATTCTCTATTTAAAAAGTTATAGCCATCCTGGTGGGGGTGAAGTGGTCCGTCATTGTGCTTTTCATATGCATCTCCCTAAGGATGTTGAGCAACTTTTCATGTGCTTTTTGGCCATTCGTATGTCTTCCTCGGAGAAATGTTTATTCAGGTCCTTAGAAATTGGGGTGTTTGTCTTTCTGTTGCTTAGTTGTAAGAGCTCCTTATATATTGTGAACACTAGACTCTTCTCAGATACATGACTTGCAAATATATATTTTTTTCATTCTTTTGGTTGTCTTTTCACTTTCTTTACAATGTTCTTAGATGCACAAAGGTTTTTTAATTTTAATGAAATCCAATCTTTCTTTTATTGTTCGTGCCTTTGGTGTCCTATTTAAGAACCCATTGCTAATCTAAGGTCATGAAGATTACCTGTGTTTTCTTCTAAGTGTTTTAATAGTGTTAGCTCTTATGTTTAGGTCTTTCATATCCATTTAGAACAAATTTTTTTTTTAATTGATTCAAGAGAGAGGGGAAGGGAGAAAGATGGGAAGAGAAACATTGGTGTACGAGAGACACACATCAATCTGTTGTCTCTCACACTCACCCCAACTGGGGATTGAAGCTGCAACCCAGGCACAGGCGCTGACTGGGAATCAAACCCACAATCTTTCAGTCTGGAGGGATGATGTCCAACTGATCCACATTGACTGGGGCGTGAACTGATTTTTTAATGTGGTGTGAGGTACACCACTTTATCCTAAACCTTTCCTTCTTCAGTGTTTAGATCCATTTTCCCCAGCACCATTTCATGAAGACTCCGTCCCCCATTGAATTGTCTTGGCGCCCTTGTTAAAAGTAATTTGGCCATATGTGTGAGGGTTTATTTCCAGGTTCTCCACTCTATTCCATTGGTCTATGTGTCTATCCTTATGCCAGTACCACACTGTTTTGGTCATCATAGCTTTGTTGGTTTTAAATTAGGAAGCATGAATCCTTCAACTTTCTTTTTTTCAAGATTATTTTCATTACTTGAGGCCTTTGCAATTTCATATGAATTTCCAGATTGGCTTTCTGTTTCAATGCAGAAAGGCCATTGGAATTTTGATAGGAACTTTGACTTTGTAGACCACTTTGAGTAGTGTTGTCATCTTTTTTTTTTTTAAGATTTTATTTATTTATCTTTAGAGGGGAAGGGAAGGAGAAAGGGAGAGAAACATCAATGCATGGTTGCCTTTCGTGCGTCCCCTGCTGGGAACTGGCCTGCAACCCTGGCATGTGCCCTGACTGGGAATCGAACGCGATTGTCTGGTTCGCAGGCCCATGCTCAATCCACTGAGCTACACCAGCCAGGGCTAGTGTTGTCATCTTAATATTATTAAGTCACCCAATCCATGAACATAGATAACCTTTCATTCATTTAGGTCATTTTTAATTTCTTTTTGCAATGTTTTGTAGTTTTTAGTGTATAAGTCTTTCTCTTTCACCCCTTTGGTTAGGTTTATTCCTAGGTGTTCTATTCTTCCTGATGTTACTGCGAATGGAATTGTTTCATTAGTTTCTTTTTCCAGTTGTTCATTGTTAGTGTGTAGAAACACATCTGGTTTTTGTGTGCCGATTTCGTGCCCTGAAATTCTGCTGAATTAATTTATTAACTACAGCAGTGGTTTTACGGATCACTGGAGTTTTCTGCACAGTCATGTACGATGTGATGCTTCGGTTGACAATGGGCCACAGATACAACAGTGGCCTCCAAACTTCATGATGGAGCTGAAAAGTTCTTGTCAGCTGGTGATGTCAAAGCACAGAGCGGTCCTGTCAGTGGTGACGCTGTTGTGAACAAATCCATGACGACAGGCACGTAGAAGTATGGCAGATACAGTGATATTAAGTACATAATTCTTCATAATAATGACTATGTTATTGGCTTATGTATTTGTTATGCTATATATTTTATCATTATTTTAGAGGTTTTCTTCAACTTACAAAATAAAAAGTTGGCTGGAAAACAGTATGCTGTGTCATGCCGGTGGCAGCAGCCCTCACATCCTGGGTTTGCTGGTGTCTTGATTGCACTGTGTTCTCCAGCTTGATTTTGCTCCTGGTTGTTTCATATAGTGACATGTGACCCATTTGTAGCTGAGCAGCAGCTGGGGCCTAGATGTGTAGCCAGTGATGCCATGTGGGTGTGTGTCTACATGGCAACAAACAAAATTGCCCAGTGACTTCTCAGAGTATCCCCATTGTTAAGCAGTACATCCCTGTGCACAGTGGCACGTCCTCTGTAAATGGAGATAGTTCTACTTTGGGTGAATAGCAGTGGCCAAAGCAGGTACCCTGGTCTTGGTCCTGAGTGTGTTAGCTGTGGATTTCTCACGAGTGCCTTTTATTATGCGAGAGTGTTCGATTTTGTCAAAAGCTTTTTCTGTGTCAGTGGAGGCGGTCATGCTGGTCTGCATTGTTAACGTGGTGCAGGAACCTTCCAGCATGTTGATTTGTTTTGCTAGTCCTTTTGTTGAGGACTTTTTGCATCTGTAATCATAAAGGATGTTGGTGTCTGTCTGGATTTAACAGGGTAACACAAGCCTCATAAAATGAGTTGGGAAGTGTTTTTGAAAGAGTTTGGGAAGGATTGTGTTAATTCTTTAAATTCTTGGTAAAATTCAGTAATGAAGCTTTCTGGCCCAGTATTTTTCTCTGCTGGGAGGTTTTTGATTTGCCTCAATCTCTTTACTTGTTATAGATCTTTTCAAATTTTTTACTTCTTCCCAAGTCATATAGATGATCTAATCTGCATATAATTGATCATAGTACTCTATTTTTTAAGGTTGATAGTAATGCCCTACTTTCTACAATCCTAGTTATTTGCTATGACAGGAGTGGCTCAGTTGGGCATGGTAACACAAAGCAGGTCTCCAGCCTGATTCCTGGTCAGGGCACATGCCTGGGTTTCGGGCCTGGTCTCTGGATGGGGTGCCTGTGAGAGGCAACTGATTGATGTTTCCCTCACACATCTGTTTTTTTCCTCTCTCTCCCTTCCTTCCCCTTTCTCTAAAAGTAAGTAAAATCTTTAAAAAAATCTAGTCGTTTGCATCTTCTCTGTCAGTCAAGCTAAAGGTTTGCCAATTTCATCGATTGGGAGTTTTGAAGGTTGATTCGCTGATACACTGAGATCCACTTTCCCTAGTGGCTTTGGAACTGAACCCCTGAGGATGACTGTGTCCTGAGCAGGGCTCAGGGGAGCATACTCATGACCCAGCAGGTGCCAGAATGCACTTCATCGTCTTTGAGTGAGTGAAAAACCATTGCGGCAACTAAGACGCTGAGCCCCTTTGGTGTGGTGAAGGCTTGCAGACACCTCGCCTCATGTGCAGCGTGAGTCCTCCCTGGGCCAGGCCCTGGGCTAAGCCTGCTGCTCCAGACGCCAGCAACCCTGATGGAGGGTACCTTGGTGTCCAGGGTCCCAAGTCTGACGGTCCTGGGAGAAGGCAGTGGCACAGGTGGTCCAACACGGGCATGTCCACCTGAGTTCGGTGCCCATTCAGTTTCCAACAGATGCTGTGCTTCCTGTCAGGCAGGGCAGAGAGGGAGGGAAGAACGTACCCTCTTTCTCCCGGACTTGGCTGTTAGAGGGAAGGTGAGGTAATAACCCCCTGCCTCATGTCCTAGAACACGCCCTCTGCTCTAGAAGTTTCTCTAGGGCTGACCAAGAATCAACAGATTCTCATGAGGCTGGAGGGAAGGCAATGTTGGGAGGGGCAGATACAAACAGTGTTTGGGCCTTTTTCTGTCATTGGGTGGATGGTTTATGCAGCAAACCTGAATTGGGTGCCACTTGGCACTGGGGGACCAGGCCAACATCCCCACTAGTCTAGAGCATGACTAGGAGCAGCCTGGGGTCCGGCGAGGGTAGGGTGAGGCAACCCTGAGGGGTGTGGGCCCCCAAGGCCTGATCCGCTGGCGGGTGTGAGGAATGGGGAGGATGCAGGGTGCGGCTGAGGCAAGGGGCAGTGACCCCAGTGTCCTGCTGAGGGAGGTGGCGCTGTGGCAGGCTGCTGAGGTGAGGAAGGGTTCAGGCTGGCTCGCTTTGATGGGAGGGTGTGGCCTCAGGAGAGGCTCCAAAAGCTGCTGACAGATCAGTGGGTGTCGGGGGCAACTGAGTCTGTGGAAGGAGAGGCTGTGGGAGAACAGGTCTGCTGGCTCCTCCTGGGTTGGAAGGTGGAGGCTCACTCTGGCCACTGCGCCCTCAAAAGCTGGCCCTGGAGTGGCCTGTGATACCTGGGTAGATGGATGTTTGTCCCGTCCCACGATGGGGATGGGGCTGTTTGGCTCCTGAGGCAAGGGACTGCCTATGACACTGCTGCTGGCTCTAGCCCTGTCCACTGACCTAACCATCCCTTCCCGTGAGCATCACAGGGGGCTCGGAAGGCTTTGGGGACAAAGATGGATGGAGACCCAGAGAGTTCAGTCTATGATGCTGGGTCATGTGGCAGTGAGCCCAGGGGCAGAGAGGATGGGGGGGCATCATGGCTCCTGGCAGGGAGGCACCCGAGGTTCTGGGCAGGGGTGTGGAGACCCACTGGAGCCAAGGTACAGGGTCTCTTCAGGCCCTCTGGCGCCCCCACCCACTGGCAGAGCCCCCAGGATGGCTGCCCAGGCGGTGGCTGGTGGCTGGCAGCCGCGGGCAGCCCCGCTGGCTCCAGGCTCTGCGTCTGCGGCCTGGCCTGCCCTGCTGTAGACACAGGGTGCCTGTTCCCCGAGAGCAGGGACACTGCCTCTCTGTCGGTGCCTGGGCCCCCTGGTGGGAGGGGGTCTGTTCCACACAGACTTGCATTTGTACCCACCTCTCTTGGAGCTCTCCGCAGTATGGCCAGGTTCCCTGGGCTGGCAGGGCTGGGGCGGGAGGAAGGGGTGGGTGGCCATCCCCACTGGCACTTGCCAGGCTAGGGGAGCAGGGAGGGCTGCCTGGCACCCCTGACCTGCTGTCTCCTGGGTGGGGCCGGACCCAGCCTCCTCGGGATCCCTCAGCCTGGCCGACCAGGTTTAGAGCAGTGCCATGGGTGCCTGGCTTGTCTGGCAGGATGCAACCCCACTGACTGACAGCTCCCGTCATGTGGTGAGGATTCTGGGCTGCACCCTGGGTTTCACTGCAGTGGGGACCCAGGCTTGCCAAGCAAAAATTAATGCAGCTTAGCTTCTGCTAAATGGGCCTCAGAACTGCCACCCTGGCACCCAGGCTGAGGTGGAGCACTCTGCTGTCCCCTCACTCAGCAGGCCAGGGAGCGGGAGGCTCTGCAGTGTGACTGGGGGACCTGGCCACAAAGGAGCATGGGGGCACTTTACTCAGGGTCTGGCGGGGGCAGCCCACCCAGGGGGGCACGAACGGTGTGTGGACACTGGTCACTGGAGACGGAAGCAGGGCCCGGGTCAGCCTGGAGGGACGTGTGTGGTTTGTGGGGGTTCCGAGGAGGGAGCGGGCACGAGTGGGGCCTGGGAGCCTTGGCTTCTCCCAGGCTCAGCGCCCGTCCTGGACATGCGGCGGAGAGGCAGGGACTGAGATTTTCCTCCTGGCCATACCAGGCACACAGCAGGGGCGTGCTGCTGAGGGGTACGGGCCTGGCTGTGGATGCTGAGGGGACCCTGTCCCCAGCCAGGCCAAGGCTAAGGCCAAGGCCAATGGGAGAAACCAAGGCTCTGTGTACTGGGTGCTGGTGGTCCCAGATCAACCAGAGCTCTCTTGGGACACCCTGGTCCCATCTAGGGGTGTGGTGGGGCAGGGAGCCTTCTGACTTGCCTGGGACCAATTGTGGAAGATGAGAAAACATGCCCTGGCTGGTGTGGCTCAGTGGACTGAGCGTTGGCCTGCAAACCAAAGAGTCGCTAGTTCGATTCCCAGTCAGGGTACATGCCTGGGTTGTGGGCCAGGTCCTCAGTAGGGAGTGGGTGAGAGGCAACCACACACTGATGCTTCTCTCCCTCTCTTCCCCTCTCTAAAAAATAAATAAATAAAATCTTAAAAAATAAAGCAGATGACCAGTCAGGATCCCAGCAGACCCACAACTCCACCCCGCCTGCTGGTTTGCTCTCCTGGACGTCAGAGTGCAGGCGGCTGTGCTGGGGTGCCAATGTCCTCCCACTTTATTGCTCAGGGCACAGGGCCTAGGCCCCTCTATTCCACTTCTGGGTGCGGCCAGTCCCGTGATCTAAAGTAGTCCTTCAGGTCCCGGAGGCTGAGCGGAGGGAAGTAGGGGCCAATCCTCTTCCGGATCCACCACTTGCCATCTGCAGCGTGCAGGCCCCCAGGGCGGCTGAACTTGTACCTGTAGTGCTCTCCCCTGACCCACCTGCAGGGAGGGTGGGCGTCAGCCTGGGGCCCCTGCCTGGAGCAGCGGCCTCTGCCTGCTGAGGCCTAGCCTCTCAGGGGGCCCCAGGCTCAGGGTCCCAGGGTTGTACTCCAGGAGGAGCTGCGTGTCTGTCCAGGAACTTCTGGGAGCGGGGTGGAGGGGGGCTGCTCAGGGAAGCCGGAGGGGCCCATGAGAAGCCCCCATCACAACCAGGCCCTGGACCAGGTGACGCGGGGCAGCAGGATTCCAGAAAAGTAGACCCCGTGGTGTCTGTGTCAAGGAAGGCCGAATGCTCAGTGGCCGACTCCCGGAGCCCAGCAGGCCGAAGGGCAGGACTTGCTGTAGGCGGCCCAGCCTCCCCCGGGAGCCAATGTTCTTTCAGCAAGTGAGCAATGCTGGTGAAAGGGGGTCACCTGAGGGCCCGTGGACCTTTGCGCCCCGGCACATTTCTAGGAGATGGAGGCCTGGCCCCCAGAGCATGTTCTGCATTTGGGGAAGCAGCCCTGAGAGGCAGCTGAAGCCACAGTTGGTGGGTCCCATGTGGGAGAAGAATCTTACCTGGGGGGGGCCCTGTCCGCAAAGGGGTTAAGGGCCAGCAGGGACAGAGCCTCGGCATCGTTGGCCAGGAGCTTGCCTGCCAGGTGGATGACCCACTCGTGCTGCTCGTAGGTCTGGGGACAAAAAGAGGAGGGGTACTTGGGCCACCACCCCTGGGTTGGCGCTGGGAGCCCTCAGGATGAGGCCACAAGCCTGAGCCCTGTTGTGGGCAGAAGCTGTCAGGGTGTGGCCCCCAAGGGCCAGTAGGAGAGGGTCTGCCGTCTGCTTGCTCCCTCCAGAGGGCGCTGCCGCGCCACTCCCTACTGCAGTCAGCCATCTGTGGGTGTGGGACTGAAGTGTGGTCAGTGGGCTGCCCTGGGCGCCCATGCCCCATTGGTTTGGATTCCCCTCCAGAGGGGCTGCCAGCTTCCGTTCTCATTTGTCGGCCAGATGTCCACAGGAACCGTTCATTCATGTGCCTGGGCTCCTGCCCCACTGTCCTGTCTTTGGGTAGCTCGGATGAAGCAGGCTCAGGGCCCAGCCATGCCAGCTCACCTCTTGGCTTTGTCACCTGGCAGCCCTGGGCTCTCAGGTAAGTGACGGAGCCTTCCCTAGGCTATAAGAATGGGTGAGATGGGTCAGGGGGGAGGGGAGGTGGCATCTCCAGGCTCTCTCTGGCCCAGGCTGCCACTCTGTGAATGTCGGCTGCCCTGGCATCGGTCCCGCCTGGCCTCGTCAATTCTGGTAGGGGGCCTTTGGGAGGCAGATTGTGGTACCTGGTCCCCCACAAGGGCATCTGAGGGCGGCCCCGTGGACCCGCACCTGAGGGGCCCGCTGCTGTCCAGAGGCAGAGCCTGTGTGTGTAGCAGAGCACAGGGCACGACCTGGAAGAAAGCCCGGCCTTGGAACCCCCTGCCCTAGCCAGGTGTCTGCCCGGGTCTAGGCTGCTCCAGGAGTGAGACCTGGCCCCTGGGAGGGTGGGACCCTGGGAGTGCTGTCCCATGCTGCTGCCTGGCCCTGGATCTTGGGTGGCATATCCTGGTTTGTTCCTCAGTGGCTCAGGAGTGAAGCGAGTTCTGCCTCGAGGGCTGGGAGTGTTGTGTGAGGCCGGTCACCGTGGGGGCTGCATTAGCGCCCATGGCTGAGTGCTGTGTAGGCTTCAATGTTGTTTCCAGTGGGGTCTGATCTTACCTCCCACCTGCCTCTCCTGCTGGCCCTGTAACAGGTGTTTCCAGGGCCCTGGGTGTGCCTCCCCACAGCCTTGGGGATGCCAGAGTGAGCCAGAGTGATGGGAGCCTGAGTCTGCTGTGAGCACCTGGATGTGCGGGACTGGGGGGATGGTGGGGCAGGAGGAGGAGAGGGCCCTCACCTGGAAGGCCGCGAACCACATGAGCCAGTCAAGGCGGTGGTGGTAGGGGGAGATGAGACATGGCCGTCTCCTCAGGTCACCTGGCTTGCACTTGAACTCATAGTCCTCCCACACGGTGTCCGGTGCGCTGGCATTGGGGCTGGCCGTGCCCTGCAAGATGACCTCTGTCCGCTCCCTGGTGATGCTGTTGAGGAGACAGAGTGAGCATGGGCTGGGCCCTGGGCAATTGCAGGCGGGGCAGTGACGCTTCTTCACCCGGCTCCCCGCCCCGGTCAGACAAGGGTGAGGCTGGAGCTGCAGCTGTGGGTGGAGCAGGTGCAGGTGAGGGCTGGCACTGGGGGTGGACCAGCCCACCTGGCTGGTCAGGCCCAGGTCTCCCACATGGTGAACAGGGAGAGACCGCACCCAGACTAGAGTCAGCCAAGACGGGAACCCCAGGGAATGTAGGCTACCTTCCAAAGGCTCCGTATGTGTTGACAATTCTGAGGGGGTTGAAGGAGCTGTTCATGACCTGCTTGGGGCTCAGCAAGTTGAGGACCACAGGGACGCTGAGCCAGGCGACCAGGATGCCCAGTGCCAGGTTGGCCGTCTGTCGCACCACACAGCCTGGGCCCAGAAAGAGACAGCCGGTAGGTAAGCTTCTGCCCCCTGGGCCCAGACCCCAACCATAGGGAAAAGCTGAGGCCACCCCCACCCCTCAGCTGGCCCCCCAGACCCTGGTCTCTGTCTACGCCCTCTGGGCTCTCAGAAGTGGAGGGCAGTCCGCTGGTCCCTGCTTGGGATTCTGGGAAGGGGCCTCTGCATACAACCTCCATTTTCTCCCAGCTAAGGACGCCCCCTGAGGCCGATGTGGAAACGGGGTCGTGGGAACTGCACCCGTGGGGTGGGCCTGGCTGTCACTAAATAAGAATGGGCCAGCACCTTTAGGGACCAGCTGCCTTGGGTCCGGGAACAAAGGCCTTACGCTCACATCCCCAGGTGTCCACCTACCGAACGTCAGCGCAGGCCGGGCCTCCCGGGCTTCCTCCTTCTGCATCCTCAGGACTTGGTCCTTGAGGCCACCAGGCCCAGAGGGAAATAGGAACCCTATGGCGGCATCGTCGAAGCAGGCGACACTGGGAACAATGGTCAGCCAGTTCAGGAAGCTCAGGTTCCCGCTAATGATGAGGACCACCTGAGGGACGGAGCAGAGGATAGCTGCCACACCCAAAACTCAGGGCTCGCAGTGCTCCTCCCCAGGGGGAGCCTGGCAGCCTGGCTGTCCCCTCCAGCTGCCTATGCTCTGCCCGCTGCACCGCCACACAAATTCAGCGGTGACTCACAGACGCAGCCCGCAGAGCTGCCGAGGCCGCCGTTTCCCAGATTCTCCCTGGAAGTACATGTGGGCGCGTGTGCTGTTGCCTGAGGGATTGGGGTGGCGGGAGGCCACGGGCCAGGCTGCGTGCCTGTCCTTCCTCAATGTCTGTCCCAAGGACATGCCCTGAATGATCTTGAAGGCGGATTCTTCCCAGAGCCCCCAGTGAGGCCCTACCTGCTGACACCTTGATTCCAGCCTCTGAGACTCTGCTTGAGACCGCAGCCAAGGCTGCCCTGGCTGTTGCTCCCCTTAGGTGCCCATCAAGAGCAGGAAGATGGGGTGCACTTGCCTGTCTGTCTGCTGCCCTATCCCCCACACCCTGGTGCCCACGTGTGAGGCTGCCCCTGGTCCGGGCATCCACTGGGATGGGCGTGGCAGGTTTCTGGCAACTTGTGTGTATGGAGCTATGGGTTCAGATGGAGCCCACCTCCTTGTACTTTTATAGGGGCCACAGGGACAGGACCAGTCCAGGGCTGTCTGCTGGGCAGCTCTCTGGGAGGCTGGTCCCTGCTGCTCCTCAGAGGCCTCAAACTGCCCCAGTTGCTTCTGGGGCAGGGTCTGGGCCAGGGTTGGATGACACAAGGCCCAGGAAGCCCAAATGTGTCTGGAGAAACTGGCATGTCCCACAAATCCCACTGAAAATGGTGACCAGGGAGGTGGAGCTGCCGTGTCTGGACCCACCAGGTCCACCTCTGTGGCACCGGTGCTAACGTGGCCATCGGAGGGGTTTCCAATGAGGATCGCCCCCAAAGGGACCGAGGCCCCTGGCCGTCAGCACTGAGGCCACAAAGGGGTGCGAGGCTGACAGTGTGGGGCTCTCCGACATGCCCGGCCTGTCTCAGAGGACTGCATGCTGGAGCTGCCTCCCAGCCAGAAGTCTGGGAAGTTCCTTCTGGCAGGGCACATTTTGTAAATTGCCTTAGAGACTGGAGAATGGCCCTTCTGGCCTGACTGTGCCCCGCTGCTGGGTGGTGGGAAACAGGGAGTAAATGGTCCTCCCCTGAGGGGCGGGGCGGCCTCTGGGTTCACAGCTTATCCACGTGCCCCAGACACAGGCCTCTGTTCTCCAAGCCCCCAGGGACCCCAAGGGCTGCTGAGCAGAGAGCTTCCTCAGTGATGACTCCAAATGACCACAGTGGATGACAGGCTGAGAGGTGGGCAGGCCTCAGGCCCCACTGGCCTGTGTGTTTGGGTGCAGCCTGGGACACAACCCCACACCTCTGGAAAGCCCGGCCTTCGAGGGCGGCAGCCCGGTAAGAGCAGGTCTGGCTGGTGGCAGGAGGTCCTGGCCCACCAGGGATGCCCCAGGCCGGGCTTCCGGCCCCGGAACGTGAGCTTCCTGGGGCCTGCGGGTGTCCTGGAACACAGGGTGGCAGGGCAGGTGGGGAGGAGCGACACGACCACGGCACACACTCTCGTGGTGCAGGTGCAGGTGGGACGCTGCAGATGCTGCAGGGACGGGAGCCAGAGGGACCAACGTGACACAGGCATGGGTGTGGCCTCTCTTCCCTTTAAGTCAATTTTATTGATGTGAATGATAAAATGCACCCATTTTTAGCATATATAGTCCAATGGCTTTTGACACCTTTACTTCTGTGTAAATCACCACAGAGGCCAGAACTTCTACCCCCAAAAGACTCCTGGTGACTATCTGTGCCAACCCCTCCCACACCCTGGAGTCTCTGAACTGACTTCTGTCTGCCCGTTGCTCTGCCTGCTCCAGAGCTCGGTTCCTGGGCTCGCTCAGCTCCGGGCCCTGAGACCCTGCACTTCCCGGCCTCAGGGCCTCCCACCCCCCGCAGAGGGACACAGGTGGGTGTCCCCCCGCCCTCTGGTGAGTATCGGGGGGGCCCCCAGGACTTGACTATCATGAGTCAAGTTTCCACATGCAGAGGCGTTGACTAGTGTTGGGTCATGTGGCGATCTGGGCCCCCCTGGGCTTCCGTCTGGGACTGTGAGCAGCAGCTTGGTGATTTTACCTGGGGTCCCCCGTGAGCAGCCACCTTGAGGGGTCTCTTCCTGTGCTGAACTTCCTGTGTCCTCTGAGAAGCACCTGTTCAATTTTCTTCCCATTAAAAAAAGCCAAACCCGCTGATTCCCTGGGCTGTGAGAGTTCCTTGTCCGACATGCGCATACTGTGATCATTTCCTGCCCACCAGTGGCCCGCTCTTTTGTTTATGTTATGGTCTTTTTGGAAAAGATGAAGTTTTAGTTTTTTGTGAAGTCCAAGTTATCAATTTTTTAAATCTAAGAAGTCTTTGCCTACCCCAAGGTCATAAAGATCTGAAAGGCTGTGGATGGAGCGCTGGTCCGTCTGGGTGAGTGTCCGACGGGCAGCCTGAGGTGAGGCTGAGAACGCCTCTCTCCGGGCGGACTCGGCGTGGAGCCCCCAGGCCCAGGAGCCGGCTCAGGAGGAGAGAAAGGTTCGAAGGCTGACGGGGCCAGGCCTACAGGAGCCCCAAGTGCAGGGAAGAGCAGAAAGGCGGCCGCGGCTTCCAGGAGCAGCGGAGGAGCTGGAGCAAGCGGGAAGGGTCAGGGTCAGGGTCAGGATCAGGGTCTGGGATGACTGGGCTGCTGAGGGTAAAGTGTCTGTAGGGAAATGAGCTGCCCCGAGCCCCGGCCTCTGAAAAAGAGAAAACTCTGAGCCGGAGGAAGAGCCCAGTAGGCCAGGAACCCACACATTAAACAAAACGAAACGAGGGAAAGACGGACAGGTACCGAACTGGGGAAGCAGAGGAGGGGCATCTGTCACATGAGGAGAATGGCCAGATGGGCACTGTCTAGAAGGGACTTTGAGAAAAAGATGAAACAGGGCAAGCAAATGAAAATGGTAAAATCGCCACAGAAACAAGAGGAATAAAAAGGGAATTTCATGAAGTTCACATGTAAATACACCTCACACCTGACCACGTGGACACATTTCTGAAAGAAATGAGACCAAAACCAGCCAACAGCCACCTCACAGGCAGAGCTTCCCCACCCAGGCGGCCTGGGCTGGAACTGTCACTGCGGAGAGGGGAGCAGCCTGGGAAGGAGGCGAGGTGACAGATGCAGGGGGCAGGGCCACCCCACCTTCACCAGGGGTGTGTCCTCTTTGGATGGTGGGCAGGCTGGGATGTGCCATCTCCGTGTGGCCCAGCCCCTGTCACCTCCGCTCTTCTCCAAGGCTGAGCAAAACTCAGCTGATGCCCCAGACCCTTAACTGCTGAATTTTAATTAAAGCTGGTCTTGATCCCAGCTGGTCTTGATCCCAGCAGTCGGCGGTCGGGAGGAACGCAAGGTCACAGACGCCAGCCTAATGAGGGTCTGTGGGAGGAGCCGGCCTGTCGGTGGGTCAGGCCAGCTTTACGGATCATGACGGAGTTTTATGATGTATGACATGAGAGGTTGTGGGTTCACGGCTCTCACTGGATTAAGTTGGAAAACTAGTTTTGTTGGCTATGAGCCCAAAAATAATTATTTCTTACTCTTCTCTGTCTATGATGTTAACAAATGCATGCCAAACACAGCCCGGCCAGTACCGCTCTGGGCCGGCAGTTCCTCCTGCCAGCCCCTCTGGGCCTGTCAGGGTCCTCACGCCTCAGGTCTGTGCTAAAAGGGCACCTGTGGGCAGAAGGGCTTCTTCCTAAACTCTGCAGACACCACTGGCCCCCGACGGCCTGGGCATGGGGCGCTGGGGCTGTGCGGTTGTGGCGGGAGCTAGGGTGCTGACGGGTGGGGCGGGTCAGAGCCCCGCTGCCCAGACCCCTCTTCCACCACAGGGAGGGCGTGGGGCTGGCAACTGAGGCCTTTGGGGTGCCGTGGCAGGGTGCCCGGAGTCCTGCGGCCACGCCAGCTCCAGCCTCTTTCACATTCCCTTTGCGGTTGGTCTGGGCCAAACCTGATGGGACGGGAGTATCTGATTCCTGCTCCCCTCCTGCGGGTCTGATCTCTGGTTTTCATCTCCACTGAGTCTCTCAGCTGCAACTTGAGGGGATGATGTCACAGAAGCTCAGCTGCTCTGCTGCGCTGCCTCTGGGATCCTGGCTGCTGACATGCTGCTCGGAGTGGCTCTGTGCCTTCTGGTAAATGCTTTGCACCGAGTCTGGCAGGGTTCAGTGGACAGCTGGGCTGCTGCATCCAGGAGCCCCTCTCCCTGTGGCTCCGCCAGGCAGCTAAGGCCTGCTGTGCAGTGGAGATCAGGTCAAGGACCGGCCACTATCCTGAGGGGCTGCTGTCTGGGGCCACGAGGTGAGAAAGCACCTCTGGCCCTTCACTGCCCAATTCACAGCTGAGATGGCCGCCAAGGCCGAGGAGACCCAGTGTGTGGCAGCCCTTCCACTACAAGCGGGACACGGCTGCCCCTCAGGGCTCTAGTGAAGAGTGGGATGGAGGGAGGACAAGCAGCCCCTTCCCAAGGTCCGAGGACCTCAGAGAGGCTGCCAGACGGCCCCTCGGCTGGGCCAGGATACTCTCCTCCTGGGCTGGGAGGGTGAACGGGGTGCAGGTGTGTGGGGAACAACCCACCTTGCTCAAACTCACACAGCGGGCCCTGGAGGAAGCTGGTGGTACCTGGCTGTTCCTCGCTGTTCTCCACCTGAAGAGCCCTCTGGCCCTGTGACACCACCCTCTGCAGCCCCCTCTGCGGGGAGCACCAGCTCCCGCCTGCACTCTGAGAGATCTGTCTGGGCCACACTCTCTCCATCAATGCTCGTACCACCAGGAGACATGGTGACCATGACCTGCAAGGCTGAGCAGGGCGGCCTGCTGGCTCACTAGGGATGCTGACCTGTCCGGGGAGCCTGCCTGCAACGGGCCCGCCTGCCTGAGTGAGCCCT